ACCTAAGTGTAAGACCAGAAACAACTGAAAGAAGTCATAGGGAGTACAAGTGAAGATATTGGTAAAGACATCAATCTTCTGATTGAAGCTCAAAGGCAAACACAACAAAAACTGAAAAATAGGGCTTTACTAAACTAAGTAGTTTCTGCAGAGCAAAGAGAGTAATCAACAGAGTGAGATGTACAGATATACAAAGGATCATGTACAAAGTGGAAGATGTCTGCCAACTAGTCATATGACAAAGGGTAATTGTGGTGATGTATTATTTATGATTTCATAAAGACTGCCTGAAGTTATCAGAATGCAAAACCAGCTACACTAGTTAACCATACAAGCCAGGCAGTGGTGGTGGCACACACCTTTAATTCCAAGACTCAGGATGGATCTCTGTGAGTTCAATGCCACCCAGGGCTACTCAAGAGTGAATCAGTTTAAAAGATTAACAGAGCTCATGCCTTTAATCCCAGTCCTAGAGAGGTATATAAAAGAGAGGAGTCTCCGGTGGCATTCTGAGACTTATTCTGCAGCCATGCTGAGGAGAGGCAGCAGTCCGAGGCTTGGTGAGAGCTCATGGAGACAGGATCAGCCTTTTCAGCCTGAGGTAGAGTAAGAGCTAGTGACCAGCTGCTTTGCTTTTCTGATCTTCAGCTTGAAGCTTGAACTCCAGTATCTGCCTCTGGATCGTTTTATGTTTTGTGTTACAGGTAATACCTAGACTACATGAGGACTATTTTAAAAACAACAACAAAATGCCCAAGTAATCCAAGTTTAAGGGGGTAAATGATCGGAAAAGACACTTCTAAAAACAAACAAAAACAACAAATAGCCAAGAAATAGATGCACAAATTCTCAGTATTCTTAGATATCAGAGAAATAGAGAAATGTAAGCAAGCCTAATAATATCCCACTCTAACTAAAATGACTGTTATTGTTTATGTGATGATGAGGATTCAGAGAAAAGAAACTCTTCTTAAACACTGCTCTTGGGGGTGTAGACTGTACAGTTATTATGGAGAACAGAATGGAATTTTCTCCAAAAAATCTTTAAAATGCTATTATTTCCTCAAAAATAAAATTTCCATCTAATCCTCTTTTCCACCTCCTGTTACACCTCTAATGTGGATAAAATTAGCATATAAAACACATTCTTGTTGTGGCAGTCACAACAGCTAAGTTACAGAATTAGCTGATGTGCTCACCATCAAGCAGCAAGGATAACGAAAGTAATACACACACACAGTAACATCAGTGAACTATGACAAGTAAGAATTAATGAGCTTAGAGAGACAGCTCATAAGCCAGTGAGGACCTGGGTTCAGATCCTCAGCACCCACATAGTAAAGGGGTCACAGAGACAGGAGGATCTCTGGGATTTTTTTTTCTTTCTTTCTTTTCTTTTTTTTTTTTTTTTTTTTTTTTTGGCTAGTAGGTTTAGTCAAATCAGTGGGAGGTAGATTCAGTGATAGACTCTGTCTCAAAATATAAGGCTGGAGAGATGGCTCTTGCAGAGGTCTCAGGCATGCACATGATGGCTCACAACCATCTGAAACTCTAACTCCAGGAGATTCAATGCCATCTTCTGACCTCCATGCACACCATGCACACATAGTACACATGCACACATGCAGATGAAACACTTACACACATAAAATAAAATAAAGTCTTTTAAAAATGTAAAATGTAGGGTGAAGAGTGACTGAGGAGCAATTCCCAACATTGACTTTTGCACCCAACCATACACATGTTGTTATTTGTAGATAATGTGGGGAACTAGAGGTTAGTGTGTTAAATGTAACACCAGAACAGAAGAATAAGTACCACATCTCCTTCACATGTAGAAATCAAAAAAGTTGACTTGGAAATGGAAACACTGTTGCTAGAGGTTAGGAAGTGTATGGAGGAGAGGTGGGAAAGGGGAAGTTAGATTTGACCTGCAAACGTGTGCGTGCGTGCGTGCATGCGTACATGCGTGTGCGTGTGTGCGTGTGAGCGTGCATGTGTGTGTGTGTGTGTGTGTGTGTGTGTGTGTGTATCTACCAGGAACAGAACCTGGAACGTGCAGGGTATGTGAGCTCACATCCCCAAATAGATGATGTCTATATTAAATAAACATAAAAGCAAGTTTTAAATTTACTTCCCATAGAACTTTTGGATGAAATAACAATACTACCTATCAAAATTTCAGGTTCAAGGGAATTTTTAAATTTTGAATATTCCAAATTAGTTCCTATGTCCTGAGAATCTTTTTTTTTTTTTTTAAATAGCATCTCTACATAGCCCTGGCTGTTGAGGAACTCACACTGTAGACCAGGCTGCTCTTGAACTCACAGAGTCTACCTGCCTCTGCCTCCTGAGTGATAGGATTAAGGGTGTGAGCCACCAAACCTGGCCTGTGAGAATCTTTACAGTTTTTCATGCTTTGATTATTAGGTTTTTCTCATTACACTATTCAGTATGGAAACAACCACATTTTGTTGGGTAGTGGCAGTGGTTATTTTTTTTAACTTTTTTTTTTTTTTTTTTTTGGTTTTTCTAGACAGGGTTTCTCTGTGTAGGTTTGGAGCCTGTCCTGGAACTCACTCTGTAGACCAGGCTGGCCTTGAACTCACAGAGATACACCTGCCTCTGTTTCCTAAGTGCTGGGATTAAAGAAGTGCACCACCACTGTCCAGTTCAACCAAAGTTTTGTTAAGATTTATATTATACCTTTTAGAGTGTGGCTAAATTTTCTTTTTTTCTAATTGTTACAAACATTAATATTTCATCTATATCATGTCTTTTGCTCAAGGACAACATCTATCACCTAAATTAAAGAATATTTAGAAAATGAATGATTACACTTCTTTATTATATCCACAGTGGTTCTCAGTATTATTAAATGCTCAAAAATACTAACTAAATGATAAATAATTATTTCTTCAAGGGATGCATACATTATTCAATCTTGATTTGTCATTATACCATTATAGAAAGTAAAATATTGAGCTAGGAGGATTTACTTAATGTGTATATGTTTAAGTGTATATGTGTACACCACGTGTGTGCTAGCTGGACAGTGAGACCCAAGGATCCACCTATCTCTCTGCCTCCCTAGCATGGGGATTAAAAGATCATGCTAGCACTGTGGGTGGTGGTGGTGCATGTCTATTGCGGTTAAATAAGGATCAGGATAAACAAATAGGCCGAATAGATGTTTATTCAGGGGGAAATAACTTACAACCTAGACAGATGAAATTCCACCCGATGCTCTACTGTCCTAGTCCCGCCAGCCAGAGAGCTTTTCCTGGCTCTCCCTCAGACCTCCTTCCACAGGTTGCATCTGCCCATGGCTCCACCCCCCAATGGGCGTGGTCAGTGCCACAGAAGGACTATCTCACTACAATTCCCTTTTTAGTCTAAAGAAAAGATTTAGGCTTAATACAAAATTATATACAAAACAATGAATAACAAGTGTGCTCTAAGAAAAGGAAAATCAAGAACAAAATGACCTATATATCTAGTCCTAGGGTGAAGGCATAACGGAGTTTACAATAGAGTTGTCCTAAGCTGGAAAATGTAAGTCTAGTACCTAATATATTTAACTAGGAAGAGAGGATAATAGTTGTGATAGTTTAATCTTCAACCTCATCAAGACCTGAGAAGGAAAATAATGATACTAGGGTAGACAGGAAGTGCAGATGGGCAACTTCCAAAAGGTGTAGCAAGGACAGAAACAGCAAGCTACCTGGACAGTCACCCTAGGTCTCACAGCAACATTGGTACACCTATTTTTGGCTAAGGCCAAGAGAACTTGACAGACCACAACAACAGCAGGGAGGTAGAAAGGCTGTCTTACCCTGACTTGGCAAGGTCAAGCAGTCTTCTATATTTGTCTCCTGCAAGCACATAGGACTGCATGTCCAAATCAGTGGTCAAGGTGGGGGCAGTTCTTTGCCCAAGAGGCCATTAGCTGAGGCGAGAATGAACTCCAGCAGGAGCAACAACAGTGTCCAACATATTTTCGGGAAAGTGCACAGTGCTGTCAGGAGCAACAGTGTCTCATGTCAATGGAGTACTAATATTAAAACATTTAAATGCCATGTTCTGCATGTTTATGAAGTGATTGAAGATTAAGCATCTATATCTGACTAATCTCATAGGCACAAGAAACATGAGTGAAGATAATCTGTAATACTCAGGAACTTAGCTAAAAAACTGATTAAAACTTCCCTGAGTAAAGCAGGAACAAATACTTAAACAATATAACTATATAATATATATACGTATAAATCCCTAAAATAGAGGTCGAGTAGAAATGTCAAGACAAGAGGTAGAATTATAAAGGGCAGCATGATAAATATCCCAAATTGTATCAATATACAAATGTCTTGAATACAAGAAAAGTATACATACATAGAATATGGTAAAAATAATGTGCACAAAACATCATAAGTGGAAAGATTTCACACAATATAAGAAAATATAAACTTAGTTTTACATAGCTTACCACATATAAGAATATATAACAATGTAAGCTGTAAAATACTATCTCATTCTTACTCAAATTCACAAGAAAATAGGCTAATCTACCTATATCCCATTTAAACCATACCTTTCCCAACCATTCCCTATTCCTGTCTAAAAGATAAATCCGAGTGTAAAGACACTACACATGTCTTTAATCTCAGCACTTGGGAGGCAGAGGCAGGAAGATCGCTGTGATTTTTAAGGCCATCCAGGGTTGTTACACAGAAAAACCCTTTCTCAAAACACACACACACACACACACACACACACACACACAAAGAGAAGATCATGCTAGCAAACTTTGCTTTTTTGCTTGGGTTCTGGAGATCAAACTCAAGTCCTCATGCTTGCCCAGCAAGAACTTTACCAACTGAGCTCTCCCTCCCTCCCTCCCTCCCTCTTTCCCTCCCTCTCTCTCTCTCTCTCTCTCTCCCCAGGTGTGTTCACTGTACTTTTTAATAATAATTGTATTATTCTCCGCTTATTATTTTTGTTGTATTTCTTTTTCTTACAGCAAAGTATCCAGAGATAAAATCCTTGATGAAACCTGACCCCAACCTGATCTGGATCATATCTGTGATGTTTCTCGTCCAGTTGGCTTCATTTTACTTAGTGAAAGACTTGGACTGGAAATGGGTCATATTTTGGTCCTTTGTCTTTGGCAGCTCCATTAATCACTCAATGACTCTGGGCATCCATGAGATTTCTCACAATTTTCCCTTCGGTCACCACAGGGCGCTGTGGAACCGCTGGTTTGGAATATTTGCTAACCTCCCTATTGGGGTTCCATATTCCATCTCCTATAAAATTTATCACATGGATCACCATCGGTACCTGGGAGCTGATGGCATCGATGTGGATGCTCCTTCTCATTTTGAGGGCTGGTTCTTCTGCACCACTCTCAGGAAGCTCATCTGGGTTGTTTTTCAGCCTTTTTTTATTTTTTTCCGACCTTATTTTGTCAACCCCAGACCAGTTACTTATCTGGAAAACATCAATATTGTGACCCAGATCTCTTTCAACATTATGATTTACTATGTTTTGGGAATTAAAGCTTTAGTCTACATGTTGGCAGCCTCCCTACTTGGCCTGGGTTTGAATCCAATTTCTGGGCATTTCTTAGCTGACCATTACATGTTCTTAAAGGGGCAAGACACCAACTCATATTATGGGCCTCTGAACTTTCTCATGTTCAATGGGGGCTACCATAATGAACATCATGACTTCCCTAGCATTCCTGGAAGCCGCCTTCCACAGGTAAGCGAAGTTCTGATTTATTGCTTTAGTTTCTGACCCAAATTTTAAAAGGAAACTTTTGTTTGGTATATATTACCAAACAAAAATTCACTTAAAGAAACCATAAAGCATAGTGTGTATCATCAGTGTCTCACAGCCTAATTTTACTAAAGTTCATGCTCTTGGATTCCTACATTTGTCTATTACAGTTATGATTCAGAAATGTTACAAAATATGCAAATTTTATTACTTGGTGAAATAACTCGGTGGTTATGAAAAGAAGACATGCAATTGGAAGGGGAACTTGACAGGGTCAGGCCTGGTAGGAGTAAGAGATTGAACTATCAAATATGCTGCACACATGCATAGACTTCTCAAAGAATGAAGTAAAAACACCCCACCTTAGCAAAGCCCATCAGATCAGCATGACCAACTGATGTTCACTTTGCAAAGGAATTTAATTTTTAATTGAGTTGTTTTACTAAGTAATAAATTTTGCAAATCTTCTAATACTTTGGAATTCCAATTATGTGTGTGATAATTTGTCCTTATTTGAGTTGCCCTTTACCTCATTCAGTATTTTGTCCCTCTGTCTGTCAGATACTCAGCTGTCACATTGAGGCCTCAGTAACACTCAGTTCACTTTGCTTTTGTTCACTTCCAGGTGAGGAAAATAGCAGCTGAATACTATGATGAACTCCCCCATCACAACTCCTGGGTGAAAGTACTGTATGATTTTGTGATGGATGACACACTGAGTCCCTACTCAAGGATAAAGAGGCCTCCAAAGGGGAATGAGGTTCTGCAGTAAATATCACCTGAGGCAAAGAAACCCTCTCTGAAGCTTGATAATTGCTGACAGTGTGGAAACATCTCCCCATCCCATCTTTCCCACTGGTAATTTAATTTAGGATGTCATACATGATTTTTTTGCCTGGCTAAACTTGGGATTGGTGATGGTCAGAAGCTGTCTTGCTATAGTGTAAACTCAGATCTCCATGATATTAAGAATTCACTTTGGTTTTCAGACAGCCTGACTGTTACAGTGCTCAGCTCTGCCTATGGGACACTTGCTTATTGAATTATCATTCCTGGTGGGGTCTTCACTCATGTCTGTCCCTTTGTAAACACATCACGAAATGCCTACTTTACTACATGACTTTTACCACTAAATTTTACTTTTATAAATAAAAAAAGCTAATAACTGTTCTGTCAATCAAAATGCATTTAGTGTTTCTTGTTTTCATTTGTTTGTTTTTTGTATTTCATTGTCTTTTCTCTAAGGTATATGGTTACATTAGACTCTGGAAAACTCAAATTTAAATTTCTTTCCGACAAGAAGGACTAGGCAGGCTCAGAAACTGGTAGAACACACCAATAGTCTTCAGTGTGGTCCCTGGAGGCTGAGGAGGAGAATCACTTGCCACCCTCTACTGTATCCAACTTTAAGTACTCTCTGGAGCCTTGAACTGGATCTCCATGCTTGTGCCTCAAACATTTTATCCCCTGAGCCATTTCCCTAGTCCTATGACCTCTGTTTCCGAAAGCTCAGAGAGCAGCACAAGCCTTGGGGAAAGGACCCTGCTTCAGTGTAACAACATCGCATCCTTTCAATGGAGAGTGGGTGGTCTGGCCCTCATTAGAAAGAAAAGAAAATGAGGATCCAAACTGTGAAGCAACTTCTTCCAAGTTGGCCAGCTTCCCCTTATAGGGTTGGGGAACCAGAACTGGATCTAGAATCAGTTGTAGATCTTAGTATCTAGAATCTTAGACTCACCCTCATTCTGAGTTAAAGGCCTATGTACTGTCTGTGATGGTACCTTCAGTTATACATCCACAATGAGCCTCCTTCCCTGCCTATTAAAGAAGGGGTTGGGAAGTGGCATCTCTAGTTGGAAACTGGGTGCCTGAATTCTAAGAAGATAGAATCCCAGTAATCTGGAAAGTAATCATCCACAGTGATGCTGGTTTCTCCACTCCTATCATCTCACATTCCAGGGGATGCAGCAAGCTGTTTCTGCCTCCAGTTTGGGATCATAGAAATAAGGCAAGCTGAGGAGGAAAGAGAAGCCATCGTACCACAGATACACACATTGCACACAACCCATATTTATTTGTGATGGTCAGCCTTGCAGCATCTGGCTCTAGCCTGCTTCTTACATGTTGTGTCCTTCCCTCCCTGCTCACTGCTGTGTGCTAGCCCCAGCCCAGCCTTTGTTCTGTGCTCAAGACTGCCTCCTCCACTCCCCCTGCACTGGATCCAGTATAACCTACTCCTTCCCTATACTCAGCTCTTAGCTTAAAGGTCTTCTCTTGGAAAAACCCTTTCCTATGCTGAAGGGGTGAAACTTTCCCACTCTCACAACTGAGTTTAGGTTTCAGTTCTCTGAAAAGGGCAAAACACAAAAGGACCATTTATCTACAATGCCCTTACATTCAGAGATGAGGCCTAAACCAGCCTCACAATGTCTCAAGGACAAATCCAGTTGTAACACAATAAATAAAAGACCCAGAGACTGATACTGGGGTTCCAGTTTCAAGCTGAAGATCAGAGAAACAAAGTAACCAAGCCTGTAGATCTTACCTCTACCCAGCTGAAACAGCGATCCTGTCTCCACATCCTCAGAGGCAAAAGCTCTTAATTCCTGTCTCTTCCTCATATTCCTTTCTCTGCCCATCCGTATCCTCCTGTCTCCATCACCCTAGTGCTGAGATTAAGGGAATGTCACCCCAAATGCTAGGATCAAAGGTGTGAGCTCTGTTATTCTTCTCTCTTATGTAGGCCAGGGTGGCTTTGAACTCAGAGAGATCCATCTGCCTGTCTCCTGAGTCCTAGGATTAAAGCTGTGTGCCACCACTGCCTGTCTAGCTCATATTGAAGGCAGGATGATAATGAGTTCACTAGACCCAAGATAAATGATACATGGGTGTTTTATTGGGGAACAACTTACAGAGATAATTGTAAAGAACCATTGTGGCCTTCCTGCTCCAGAAGATTCAGTCTCTGCCCTTCCAATATGATCTACAACTGAGAGACAGAGACAGAGACACAGAGAGAGACACAGAGAGAGAGCTCAAGTGAGAGCCAGTCCCATGTTTCTCCACCTTCCATGTACACACCTGAAGCCACTAGCACAAACTCACTGGCATGCAGATGCTACTACATAGTATGGCTACTGGGATTAAAGTTGTGTATCACCAATACCTGACCTCTAAACTTGTGGCTGGCTTTTCTTTCTGAATCCTCAGGTAATTTAATAAATCATAAATAATGTTATTACCACACCCAGAAGCTCCTGAGTCACATCCAAACTTGCCCAAACTTGTGCAAGTATACCCAAAAATGATTAGGCTAAAAGTATACTAAAAGTATACTATTATAACTGCTGCTTGTTTAAGCAATAATATTTGAGATTACCTACCTGTCCCTAAAACTCTGCTTAACTGTGCTTAAAAGGAGCCTACATGCTCCTCTATAGGGGTCATTGCCATTTTGTACAGGGGAACGACCCTACATGCATGCTGAAATACTAATAAACACTCTTTTCTCTTACATCTATTTGAGTCTGGGGTCTTCCTTCAGCATTTCCTCAGACCCTTACATTTGGTGCATTGGTGGGGAATGCTAGGGACTCCAACTCATTAGTTGAGGCTTTCTAGGAGAGCATGTTCTATTCTCTACCCATCAGTGAGACTTTGTTCTGGTTTGGCGACTGAACAAAGAGAAAAAAAGACTGGATCTTGTCTGGTGACCAGACACAAAACTGGTGCTGGTGAGTAGACACAAAACTAGATGCCCCGAAGAAAGCCACATTTGTCATTAACTTCCTCTTGGTTGGCGGGGAGTCTCAGGAAGTTCAGACTCCCTTCTGGTGGAACTGGGGAGTTCTGACCTGTTGGAGTGAGGAAGCTCCAATCTGGTTATGGTAGCCAGTGGTGGGAAGGTTCCTGTCATTTGGGTGGAGCCCAGCATGGGACATGCTGCCTTCTGCATCTTTTCAGTTTCTTTTTCAAAAACTGGTAGGTTTGGGGTTTTTTGTTTTTGTTTTTTGTGTGTATGTTTGAGTTCTGTTTGTCCTCAATTGTATTCTTAAAAAATATTATTAAGGGACTTAAAAAGTCAAGCAGAGTCTGGAGTTAATGATTTGATGGGGGAAACTAATGATCTTTTGCAGAAATACTGATGCTAGGCACTCTATGCCCACCAGCTGCTGCACCACCCATGCAGCCACTGCTCCTCCGCCCTTCCTAAACCTAATTCTTCACTGTTGATACAATTTGCAGCCCTGTGATAACACTACTCTCCACCAAGGTCCTGGCCTCTGCTACTTTCCCACCTTAGCTCTTTCCTGTCCTGACACTACCTAAGAAACTAACTAATTAAACAAGCCTATATTATTTAATATGTCTTGGCTTCAGAATAAAAGTCAAAAACATATTATGTGTAGGAAAACTTATGCTTTTATTTCCACAAGGGAGAAAGCATGGTTTTTGGTCATTCAAATTCAATGAGTTATAAATATTTGTCATCATTTAGAGTGGTTGGTTACAAATTATTATTAGTCAGGGTAAGAAAACAATACTACTTGTTTCAAATATTTCATGTTGGCATCTTTTTTATGTGTTGATGCAAATTTAGGGTTATTTTCGTTATGGTGTATGTGTGTTTCTAGTCTTGTTTAAGGTATTGCACCTATACAATATTCTAGACTACTGAGAGAAGCCACAAGAAGTTTTCATGTATTTGAAAAACAAAAGACAGAAGACTAAAATAATAAAGTTAAAAAAAGAAAAAGAAGAGTTTGTCTAAAATAAAAATGTCTGGCTGAACCAAAGGAGTGGAGATAGGAAAATCCAGACCTGAGGATATGTAGGAAGTTGTAGAAGGCCAGAGGGCCTGTGAACTGTATTTGCTTTGCTTTGGTTTTTCATACCTGCAAATACTAAATTTGAAGGAAAACCATAAAGTATGTTGAAAATCTGAGCATATTGGGTGACTTTCTTCATTTTAAAAAATGCTGATGATTCTTCACTGCAAAATGATTATGTTAAAAATGGGGTCATGCTCTTTAAAGAAGGGAGGAGGAATGAGGTCCCATATCAGATTTATTTTAAAATATAATGTACAATTTATTTTTTTTATTTAATTTATTATTTTACATGTCGATCCCAGTTCCCTCACCCTCCCTTTCTCCTTCCCTCCCTCCCTCACTTTTACCCTCTCTGCCCTCTCACATGCACCCTAACCACCCTCCCCTCCCATCCCCCCACTCCAATTCCATATGTAGGGCAATGCCATCCAGTTGGGGTCATGTAGATCTGACAGGTCATTTGAAGTAGGGACTAGGGCTTCTCTCCTGTCTCTAGATTAAGGCAGTTATCCCTCCATGGGGCATGTGTTCGCAAGATTCTTTTGTGCACCAGGGATACATCCTGGTTCCACTGTCTGCGGTCCCTTAGACTGCTCAGTCCTGGCTGAGACCCATATTCAGGGGGGCCTGAGTCAGTCCCATGTTGGATTCCCCGCTATCAGTCTGGGGGCCCGTAAGCTGTCTCTATGTGTTTCTACCGCCTGGTCTCGTCCTCTCCATCTGCATCTGGGTTCTAGTTCGACTCAGTGTTTATGTATGGGTGTTTGCTTCTGTTTCCAACAGGTATTAGATGAGGGCTCCATGGATAAGTTAGTTATTGATCTTACTATCCGGGAAGGGCATTTATGGTAGCCTTTCCATGGAAGCTCAAATTGTTAGTTGGTGGCAGTCTTGTAGGTCTCTAGACCTTTCTTTGGGTTCAATTTTCTCTTCAAACCAA